AGGTATTTGTTTTTTTTTTTGCTTTTTTTTTATGTTTGTGGGGGGGGGGGGGGGGGGGGGGGGGGGGGGGGGGGGGGGATTACCCCATCCATTACCCTATATGCGTTTCTTTGCTTTTTCTTTTCTACCCAAAAAAGATGGTAACAAGCTTGCCATCGTGGATTCGATGCAACTGGGTTCGATCTTTTTTTTTTTTTTTTTTTTTTCCCGAATGGGTTCGATCTTTCGATTCATTGATTGGATAGATTTTGGAACAAGCTTGCCAATCAAAATGTGTGTGAGAAAGTCTCTGAAGGATATTCTACTTTCTGGGGACGGCTTTTTTTTTTTTTAATATATATCGTCAAATATATATTGGTGGCTTGTCAGGACTTAGTAGGGGTATCTAACAGAGGGGTTTGATCTTTGGGCGCATCGATGATGATGATTATTATTATTATTATTTCTCTCTCTCTCTCTCTCTCTCTCTCTCTCTCTCTCTCTCTCTCTCTCTCTCTCTCTCTCTCTCTCTCTTCACCCCCCTTCCCCCTTTTGCGTTTTCGCGATCCCGGTTCACATCTCCTTCCTCTCTGTCCGACACTCTCTCTCTCTCTCTCTCTCTCTCTCTCTCTCTCTCTCTCTCTCTCTCTCTCTTTCTCGCGCGCGCGCGCTTTTCTCTCCCCTTCTCTCTCCTCTTTTCTCTCTCCCTATCTCTCTCCCCCCCATTTCCATTCTCGATCCCGGTTCATATCTCCTCCCTCTCTGTCCCACACTCTCTCTCTACCTTTTTTCTCCCCCTCGCTGTCCTCTTTTCTCTCTCCCTCTCTCCAGCTCTCTCCCTTTCTCCCCCTTTCTCTCCTCTTTTCTCTCTTGTCTGTGTCCCCGCCGTTTTCTCCCTCTCCCTTACTTTTATTTCGTTTATTTCTCCTTCCTTCTCCCTCCTTTTTTTTTTCCTTCTCTTTCCTCTCCTGCTCCCTTCTGCCCTTCTGTTCTAAATGTTGACGTCAACGGTCACGAAACGATTAAAAAAAAAAACGATAAGGAGAGAGGGCGATGGTGGCGTTTGCTCTCCTTCCTGTTTGACCGTTGACGTTAACATTCAACACCATGCGGTTCCTGCCATCGTTCTCGGTAGCTAGCCAACGAGGTTTTTTTTTTTTTCTGTTTTTTTTTCTTCTTTTCTTTCTAGCCGACGAGGTTGAATGGAAGGCCGCAGACTCCGCTCAGAGACGCAAAGAATTCTCTTTTCCTTTTTCTCCTCCAGAGTCCATACATTGTTTCTCTTTTTTTTTTTCCATTCTTGTGCAGGGCCCATGCTAATATTCTCTGTAATTTTGTGAGGGACGCTGGGCCCGGTTCCCAGCTTTGATAAATGTTGTTCGTAAAAAAAAAAAAAAAAAAAAAAAAAACTTTGTATCGTTCCAGGTCGCCACGTTTTTGCGGCAAAGTCAACGTTTTCTCTAGGCTACCAGAGTGGCCCGGGGCAAGTTGCCCGGCCGGGGAAAAAAATGAAAAAGAAAAAATAAATTTACTTTCTAATTTTTGTGTTTTTTCAGATTCGGTAAATGAATTTCGATGTGAACCTGAGGGAAACGTTGTTCAGTTATATTTTTCGGCATCATCTAGTTTTTCAAACCTTTTTCCAGTTTTTTTTTTGCTGGGGCCCTTTGCTGGACCTCGCACGGCCGGGCTGCCCGGTCAAACATGATGACCCGGGCGGCCCGGCTGGTAGACCAGCGTTTTCTCGGTTTTCCGGCTCGGCTTCGGGTTCTCTGTCGAGTTCTTGTGTTTTTCTTTTTCTTCTTTTTTCTGACTTTCGTTTTTTTTCCAAAAAAGATCCAACTTTTACTATAAGGTCTCATTTGCATGGATTGGCAGATTTCCGCTGTTGATCTCGGCTATCTATGGTGTAAGTGGGACCTAGCCCCGGGTGTTCCTGACAATAGCTGCGCAGCTACTCTCTGCAGCGAAGGGGCATTACCCGCCAAGCCTAAAGGGGGAGCTGCATTGAGCAAACCAATCTCAAAAGCAAAGCAAACGCCCCCGTCTCACGAAAGGAGCTCCAAAAGTGCTGCACAAGCCGGCCAGACCTACCCGGCCGGGAAAGACTTAAACCACCAGGGCCAAGGTCACACTAGCAAAGAGGATTGGAGTAAGCTCCTGAATCTGGACGTGTTTCAGAAGCAGTTCGAGCTCGATATTCTGCACCTCCTGAATCTGGACGTGTTTCAGAAGCAGTTTGAGCTCGATATTCTGCACCTTTGCTCAAACGCATCCAGATTCAGGCGTTCAATCCAATCCCCTTTGCCAGTGGGACCTCGGCCCAGTACTTCACCCCCGTTAAACCGCTACCGTCTTCACGCCGGTCATTAGTGCTGGACCTGGACTGAAAAGTGCCCCAAATACAGCTGTAATGACAGGGCGTTATATTCGGGTGAAGACGATAGTACACGCCCCAGCCTTGCAGAAAGTTTTTGTCGCCACAAGCAAACTCCTTGGAGGCGCCGTGCGGCGAGGGGCACCATTGAAAAAAAAAATCGGCGACAGGCTTGCAGAAAGTTTTTTGTTGCCACAAGCAAAACTTGGAGGCGCTGTGTGGCCATGGGCGCCGTGTGGTTAGGGGCGCCGTTGAAAAAACAAATTGACGGCCTCCGAAGTGGTGCGGTTTTCATGCTGACACCCGCGGGCCGATGCATGGTGTACTGGGTGCTTTAACGTGCCGTGGCGGCTGGGCTTCGGGCTACCGGACCACATTGGCTGGAGGTCGCAGCCAAAAAGAACACAAAAAAGCGCTGCAGGGGTTTGGTTCAACTTGACGCGCCAGGTGCTTGGAGGCTCGGCTTCAATAGCTGGGCCAAGTACTGGTGGTTTAAACAAGTAGGAGATGTCAGGAGACGGATCACAACATTTTGCACAGACTGGGTGGGAGGGGAGAGGGAAGGATGGATTGCAAGAGTAGAATGGAGCGGAGACAAGGGAGAGGGACAGAGGGATTTGGAAGAGATGACAGATTATCGCCTAAGTTTCAAGGACTGGACACACATTGAACCCTCATTCCCACTTCGCCCCCCCTCGGATTTCCCAGACCCCTTCCCACCCCATGCCCTCTCCCTGGGAGAGATCCTGTCCTGAATGATGAATACGGTATCCCCATCATTTACTCACTCCTATTCACACTCATTCTCTGACAAGAAACTCCTCCCTGGAGCCCCACGGGGAGGTTCTTTCTTCTGCTAAACATCTGCTAAATATCCACATTCCTTTTCGTCCTTGCTTTTCGCCGCTTAGTTAACCCTCCCTTCTGCGGATCGGGCCAGTCAATGCTGGCAGCCTGAACACTCTGACCAAGGAAAACTAGGGGGATGGTAAGGGGAGGAAGGAACTAGAGTGTAGTAGTAGCTATCTGGCGCCGATTCCAGGGTGAAGAGGTTCCTTCCTCATGCACACATCCTGCTCAGTCAATCCCCTGGACACCAGGGTAATCAATGCTGGCCCCCACAACATTTTCCTCTCTGATGTACTCCAAATTCAGTTTGTACATGGGACGCTGGACCCGTTTTCCAGCAGGTGATGCTCCCCACCAATAGATGGAGCCTCTCCCCAGGTGCTAGTGGTGTCTGCTCTTATCAGCACCACTAACACTGGCGGGGGCATGTTTAAAAAAAATAAAATAAAAATGGTAATTCCAAAAAAAGAAGAAAAAAAGAAAGGTAATTCCATTCCCCGCGGTCTGACCTAGCACCTATTTATGAAAGACGTCGGCATATGTTCCGCCCAAAACCTTTTTACAGAAGGATGCTGGACCCGATTTCCAGCAGGTGCAGCTCCCCACCAATAGATTTTTGAGCAACCAGAAAGGCCTGTTAGGTGGGGCTTCTCATATCTCACCCCTCCTAACAGCTGGACTGGCTGGCTTGAAAAAAAAAAAAAAAAAAAAAAAAAAAAAAAAAAAAAGAAGGCATTGACATAGCGCCCATCATATGCTATATACTAATGTGGTACATACAATTGCCTTTTTTTTTTTTT